TTCCTTCCTTCCTTCCTTCCTTCCTTCCTTCCTTCCTTCCTTCCTTCGCTCCTGCAAATCAGTATATAAGTTTAAGGGCTATTAAGGGCTATTTAAGGGCTATTCCTATTGCTCTTCCTTTTCCCCTTCCATCCTCCCTCCCTCCCTGCAAAGCAGTATATAAGTATAAGGGCGATTGCTATTGCTCTTCCTTTTCCCCTTCCTTCCTTCCTTCCTCCCTCCCTCCCTCCATCCCTCCCTCCCTCCTTTCCTGCAAAGCAGTATATAAGTAACTAAGGGCTATTGCTATTGCTCTCCCTTTTCTCCTTTTCTGACTCTGTAAACCACTTAGAGAGGGCTGTAAAAGCACTGTGAAGCGGTATAGAAGTCTAAGTGCTATTGTTGTTCCTTCCTTCCTTCCCTTCCCTCCCTCCCTTTTCTCCTTCCTTCCTTCCTTTCTTCCTTTCTTCCTTCCTCCCTTCCTTCCTAGCGGTATATAAATCTCAGGGCTGTGGCTATTGCTATTTTGCGACCTTCACACAAGAAAGTCAGTGGTGAATACAGTAACTGTAACTAAACAACTATGGTGATTCACTCAACGATGGCAAGAAAGGGGGCAAAATGGGAGCACAAACTCACCTAACCACCGTCTGGCTTAGCAACAGAAATGTTGCGCTCCACTGTGGCTGTAAGTCAAGGACTATCTGTGTTTTAGACAAAAGGAAGCTTCTTCAATTTGGCTCCCTCCCCCCCGTAAGTCCACCTACTTCATAAGCCAAAGTACATGTGTATGTCATGTCAATGCAAGCATGGTGTAAGAAAACATGCCCTGTCCGTGGCGCAGATGGCCACAGGGAAGCAGGAGCTTCAACCGAGAGAGGCTTCTTTATTTTTCCTGCTTCCAAGCTTGGAATTCCATTTTCTTTTTTTCTTTTTTTACAATTTACAAATTCCAGGCAAAACATTGGAATTTAAGAAAGGCCACTTAAAACGCAATTCAGAATGACCTCAAGGAGGGATCCTTGAGCGCTGCTGGTGGACAGATTTCATGGCACTCCTTATTTACAAAGAGTTTTGCCCATGCTCACATATGGTGTGCTTCTCCGGAAGCCCCAAAGCCTTGCTTTGATTCCCCCCCCAATCGTGTCTAAATTTGGGGGTCCGGTGGATAAATGTTATGCTTATTACTTTGGAAGGGGTGCTAACTCTACAATCCCCTACTTGGCCAAGTGTTTTCCCCAAGTCGTACGATTGTGCAGATCATTTCGTTTAGATGCCTTGTTTTTATTTTCTGGTTGTTGTTTTTTTGCTTGACAATGGAATTGCCCCTTGTGACACAAACTGATCCAGGATTATTATGTGAAATGCAAATGGTTCTTGCTTTTATTGTTTTTGCTTTTTGTTGTCTGTTGTTGACCAAGTTGGGAACACATTATGGTGAACTATGTGCCTTCAAATCATTGCCAATCCTATCTAGAAAGAGTGCAGAGAAGGGCAACAAAGATGCTTAGAGGACTGGAGGCTCAAAGATATAAAGAATGGTTGTAGGAACTGGGCATGGCTAGTCTAGTGAAGAGAAGGACCAGGAGTGACATGATAGCATCCCAATATTTCTGGGGTTGCCACAAAATAGGGGCAGTTAACCTATTTTCCAAAGCATCAGAGAGCAGGACGAGAAGCAATGGATGGAAACTCATCAAGGAGAGAAGCAACCTGGAATTAAGGAGGAATTTCCTGTTGGTGAGAACAATTAACCAGTGGAACAACACTGGAAGTTTTTAAGAAAAGATTGGACAAGCATTTGTCTGAAATGATATAGGGCTTCCTGGCTCAGCAAGGGGTTGGACTAGAAGACCTCCCAGGTCCCTTCCAACTCTGTTACCCTATTCTATTCTGTTCTGTTCTATCTACCTATATTGTTAACAATGACTTGAAAGCACATAGTTGTTCTCTTTACATCCTAATGGAAGTTTCACATGGTAATCAGTAAAGTTTCTTGATAAGAGTCCAGTAAGCAAGCATCATATAAGCTGTGTTGGACTTTCTTAACCAAGGTCTTGAATGAATTTGGTGAGGTGATTAGACACCTCCCTGCAATTTAACTCCAAGATCTGACATCATCTCAAAAGCTCTTCGAGATTGCAGTTTTTAAAAAAATAAAATTAAAAAAAAATATATTGTCCTATCTTTCTCCCCCCCAAAATTTAATGTTCTGAAATGTTTGCTTCTTCCACCCACTCAGTATGATTCAGATAATCAGAGTTGGAAGGGACCTTGTAGGTCATCTAGTCCAACCCCTGCCTTCCAAGTATACAGCGCAAAGAGTCGGTTATCCCATTTCTGTTTATTATTTATGCTTTTATGAATACGTTAGGGAAAAAATTATGAAGAAATGATGTGAATGTAATGTTTAAAAAGGGTGTCCCCAAATTTGGAATTTGTCAATCCATGGACATGCAGGGGATGTCCTGAAATGGCCGCGCACATGTGAAATCCTGGATTGAAGAAATGATTCCAAATTTCAGGATTCCAAAGGGTGTCTTTGTAAATGCAGGGGAAAAGACTATAATTTTTAGTCTGCTGTTCAAAACAGTCAGTCATTTTGTCATGGAAAGATTTGGGACTGATATATACACACTGTGATGCATTCTTGATTAGTTGTTTTTTAAAAATATATAAATATATTTTTCTCTTCCTGTTTTGTATTTTAGCACATAAAATAATAAAAATGGAAAGAAAAAGAAGCTGAAATGTGACTTTTTGTTTGCTTGTTTGTTTGTTTTCAAAGGCAGGCAGCGGGTGGATGAAAGGGCAATTTTTATCTCAAATCCCCACCAAAGAAGCGATCTGTTCTTAACATCCAAATGATTTGAATTAACCACTGAGCTTATTTCTATTTCTAGAAATAAATCATCAGAGCAGACTTAAAATCAGCACTAAAGCCAATCTTGTCTTGCTTGATGGTGTGTGTCTCTTCTTCTTCTTCTTCTTCTTCTTCTTCTTCTTCTTCTTCTTCTTCTTCTTCTTCTTCTTCTTCTTCTTCTTCTTCTTCTTCTTCTTCTTCTTCT